CTAGAAAAAAATCGTCTATTGTTAAAAACCAATCAAAGATCGAATTAGTTGTTCTAGCCATATGAAACTGCGACGGGAGAGAAAAAAAGCTATTGATATAAACGAACGACCTCCAGTAGAGATGGACCTTTAACAAGTTGCTCATATGCAAATAATTAGAACATAGAAATTTTGAAAAGAGGAAAGATTAATGACGAAAAGGGGCATTGCGTCGTGTCGTTAAATTTCAAAAACGTCACAGACTAGACAACAATGGTGGAAAATATGAGTGCAAGTTTCAAAGTTCCATCAACATTTTGCATCCAGAATAATGGATGGTGTCAAGTAGATTCTTCGAAGCGGATCTTTCTGGTGACTTGAACAGGAATTGTCTTTTGCTTGGAGACAGACGAGAGACCAATCAAGGAGCGAGAAAAAAGGGATGTGGAGCCAACCAGAAGAAAACAAAACAAAGAACGGAGATTGATATAATCCCCGATCTTCAAAGACTTTCACTTTTCGAAAACTGTGCACCTGCACACGGTTAATCAACGCAAAAGAGCAGTTTTCCGTTGGTTGTGCCCAACTTGTAACCTGTGACTATGGACTCAGACCGCCGACACTGACTGATGAATCGCCACACCTGCCGTTGCGCCGGGGCCTTCCTTCGAGTCACAGTAGAAACACCTTCGACAATTCAAACCTCCAATTGTGTAAAAAACAATTTTGTACCTTAGTGTAAGTTTACTTTTATGTTTAAAATAAACAGGTTTTTGTGAGATTCTTGTCATCTATGTCTCCTCCGCCACACCCACACACGAACGATCCTAGATCATCCTGACGTGGGATTAACGATTCCCCCTGGAAGTCGGCGAACTTACATTATCACATCATAGTCGGAACAAGGTTCTAGGACACCTCAAATTTAAATGGTTTTCAAATATAGCTAACAAAATTTAATAACAAACTAATCAAATTAATTAAGGCATAAATCCCTTTCTTGATAAAGAAAATTTGAATCGCCACATCACACGAATCTGCCCTCCTTTCACAGATCAAGCATATGTTAGAAATTTTCACAATAAATGTAAATTTGAATGATCCAAAATTCAAAAACTACAACAAGATCTATCATGGTTATCCTATTTATGAAGTAACTAATGCACTAATTAGTTAATGTCTTATCAATTTTTTTTTAATATTAAGATAACATTGGAATATGTGTAGAGAAAATAATATATGAACTTCTAGTCAAATAAATAATACTGTTTTGGAAAATATATGCACAAAAATAATATATTTTGTTATAGTTTGACACATTTATTAAATTATATAAACTAATAAAAACATTTTAATTTCTTCACTTCTACATCAACACTCAATTAGATTGTGTCGAATATATTCTATTCAAATGGCAAATTTTAATTTTTAATAATTACTTTGAATTAAGTTTAGAATTTCTAATTTCTGCTAATATTTGAACAAGAACTTTTGTTTTTATTTAGTTTGAACAAACAAATCTGTAATCAAATAAATTCTTAGACAGACTACAATGAATTGGAGACATTCAAATGAATTAATTGATAAAGCTAATATATTATGGTCTTAACATTAAAACATTTGCTTATAGTCATTTTAACAGCAGCAAAACAGCTAAGTGGTCGGGGTGGTAGTCTATGTCTGTGGGGGACCCAGGATCAAATCTGGACAGGTAAAAAATCCCAGGAATTTTTCGGGGATGCTCCATACGAATAGATCAACACCTGGCTGTCCCGTTGTGGGCCCGGTTGAACCATAATGGACTCATTATGAGGAGAAGCCCATTTTGAAAGTGAGAAACTTTGAAATCTTATACACATACATAAATATCAATTTGAAAATAAATATTAGTAGTATTTATCCAATAAAGTTAAACTATTGTATGAAAAATATACAGCATTCCTACAAAACACTCAAATTACCAAACAAGATTATACCAAATACTGGTTTTGTATAACTTAAAATACAGACTTAAAAATTCCATTAATTTTGCTGTATATTTTATATTTATATAAATGGCAGGACAATATGCATAATTAGATTTCTAATTAAACCTTACATTAGTTAACATATCATTTCGTAAGTAATAATAAATATCATTTAACCTGTAAAAATATTAATTATTTGTACTTTATAAATTATCAAAATTTTTTAAAGCTAATCCCATAACACATTAATATATTGATACATTCAGTAATCGTGTTTAAAAATATAATTTGAATGTTTTTAATTTTCCAGATATTTTAAATCTTGCATAAATTATCAAATTCATATGAACACATGAATAACTATTATGAATAAAAAGTAATATCAATAACTAAACTAGTATAAAAAAAAAAAATACTATTACAATATATTATACATTAAAATGTAAATGTTGCTAGTAATTTCTTTCTTTTTGTCTATCCATATTTGTTTATATAATTAATTTATAATAAAACCGCAATAATTTGGCATAAAAATTAGCAAAAATTACTTATAAAATTGCATCAAAATTGTTGGCATGTTTGCTGAGCAACCGAGGCGGTTAAGGGTTCTGCCCCGTTCTGGGAATACCAGGATTAAATCTGTGTAATAAACCTAAGAATTTTCACAGGTGGTTGATCCCGCACCTACTGGCCACTCCATTGTGAGCCCAAGAGAAAACCAGAAAAAAAAAGACAAAAAATAATAAAGGAATGTTTTATTTTCTTTTTTCTAAAAAGAACAGGCAAGTTGCTAAGATAACTGCATCATCATCAAGCCTATTTGATTTATTCTCATTTATTTTTCTGCCTGACAAAGTACAAAAAAAAATAGCAGATATCAATGAAACAATTTGAGTGCAAGTGACATAATTATATGGTGGCTCGGCAAAACAAAATTGTTCATTTGGTTATCCAGCTCTCACTAAGTTTACGAAAAGCTAATTTAAAATGTTTTTACCTTATACTCTAAATACATTTTATAAACTTCAAAAACTGTTCTGAGATTTTGGCCTCCTCCTCCCCTATAGCCAGCCTTTCTCCACCATTTATAGAAACAAAATATTTATTGAATTTTACAAATATATACATAATAAAGGCAACAGTTATGCTTTCCTAAAGGCTGAGAAAAACTAATTAAATAGTCCACATAAAGTACAATAAATTTCAATGTACTTCTTTGTTTCATTCATTTGTATTTGTAAACATAGATCAAGAAACTTGATCGTATTTTCAACTATCTTGAGATAAAAATGATTCACAGATTTGATTTTCTCAGCATGACTAAGGACATTGAAAACTTCTACATAACATGTAAAGAAAAAATTAACTTCTGATACATAATTTTATTGTAGGACTGTAAAAGTTGTTTTACCCTCTTTCATTCTAGTTTTTGAGTTGGTTTTACTTGATCTTCAGCCTTCTTTGTTTGCCTTAAATAAACAAAAGTTTTTTCTTCAACAAGGGTCTAAATATGATACAGTCGACCCCCCTATAACACGGTAGATATGTTCCGGTTTTTATGAATCCATTTTCTATGAGTCCTTAAATACATGAGCCAATCACAGCCCGGCAAGTGTGCAGTTTACGGACTACAGCTGTTTGAAAGGTTTTCTTCCATAAAATTAATCGATTCTAGACTAATTCAACTCAACATTTCCAAAATATGTATAATTTTTTGAGAATAATCCATATAAACTATGCTATAAACAAAAAATTATAGGATTACTTACTGAGTGTGCACCGTTTGACGACACCATTGCTTAAGCTTGTTTTTGTCGTGGAGCTTGTCATCGAATGGCGCTTGCATGCTTCCTGATAAATTATTTTTTGTGAAAAATTCGCTGAACTTTGGAGACATCATTAATTAATATAAATATAATTTTTATGGACGTTAAATAAAAATGGTTTTTAGTAGGTCTGCTGCTTGTTTAAACTCAGCGGTTTGTACAATATTCGCTATTGGTCTAGATTCAACCAATCCTGTCACGACACGAGTCAGTGATGACGTTCTACCGAATTATACGAGATTTTTTAGTGTGCTTGTACGAATACTGTCGCAATTTTTTCGCAGTCATATAGCAATCCAAACTATATGAACCCACGTTATAGGGGGGGGTCAACTGTACTATGAAAGAGAGTTGTACTCAATGTTCTAGCTCTGTATGATTAATTAGAGTATAAAAATTTTAATGTCAGATGTACAAAACTTCACAATTTTCATTTTTTAACAAACAAAATTTTATTACTTCTTGTTGTCTTAATGGTGTAAAAATTCAAGCCTATTATGTGTTTTTCATCTGAATACATTATGCCAGTTTACTACTAAGTAAGTGGAATTGGGATTTTGACAGTAGAAATAAAGATCTTTCTGTATCCTTCCCACAGTACTGTGGTTTTCAACAACAACTTAACTAATTTTCATTTGAATAATATACATCCTGTCAGACTGTCTTATTGAGTATAAGTGGAAAAAATGGGCCATGAGCCAGGAATTGAGAGAATTTCAATATTTTTGTCAAATCCAGGAGAGTTGGCAATCCTGTGCACAAGACAGAACAATTTTAGTACATCTGAAGCTATGACATGAAAATATAAGTGTGTTTCATATATAAAGTAATGACTAGAGCCAAATTTTTGGCTCTAGTCATTACTTTATATATGAAACACCCTCGATTTTGGCGAATTTCTCAGCTATATTCGTCTGGAATGAGCATCTTTCAATTAGTACTAATTTAAAAATCCAGTCTCAATATCACTAAGTTTTTTCTAACTGGCAAATTTGGCAATAGGTGGCGAAATCATCAGTTTCACATGTGCTTTGTGAAAAAATGTCTAGAAAACAGTCAAGTGAGTTTAAAATTGATTTCATGATTAAGGAATTAGGTGGCAATATATTTCACTGTACAAAAAAAACAATTCTGTGTTAAATGCTCTACACATGGCAACTACGAATGTGATACAATTAAGAAACAACTTTTGGAACATCTCAACAGTGCAAAACACAAGAAACATAACATGCTACAGTCACAAACACTGTTGTTTGAAAATGGAAGTGATTTTGATAAAGAAATGGTTGAAGCATTCACCAGTGCAGATATTCCGCTTGAAAAATTAAAAAAAGAAAAACTGAGATTATTTCTTGAGAAATATATGAAGAAACCGATCAAAAGTGTTTCAGGTATTTTTTTTTATTGTAATTAGTTTTTTTAATGAAATGTTTATTTTATTGAAATTGATGCTGCTGTTTGCGATTGTGCTCATAATTTAGCTGAAATATGATTTTATTTGAAGTCTCATTGCGTGATTTATTTTTTACAGCACTGCGGGCACATCAAAAAACTATCTTCAACCCAGTGACAGAAAAATTTAAGGACGAAATTAATGGACACGATATCTATTTCATTGTTGATGAAACTAGTGACAAAGTGCAACATAAAGTGGTCAACGTGCTTGTAGGAAAATTGAATGGCAAGAAAGCAAAATCAATGTTTTGATGTGACTTTTCACTCAACAGTTGACGACATTATAATACAAGAACGTATACTCAACATGTCTAGAAAATTGTGGCCAAATAATTTAAAATATTCAAAACTGAAGTTAATAGTGACAGATTGAGCAAAATACATGATGAAGGCAGTAAATGAGATTAAGAAAAATTCGTTGATTTTTCCAAATGTACATCATGTCACACGTCTCGTTCATGCCTTACATAATGTTACATTTAGGATTCAGAATGAGTACAAATTAACAAATTTGCTTATATCAGAAATGAAGAAGTTTTTGTGAAGTCAAGAGAAAGACAAAATTATTTTAAGAATGCAACTGGAGTTAGTAATCTTCCTCCAGAACCAATTGTCACTCACTGGGAGTCTTGGTTAAACATTGCAAAGTACTATGTTGATAATTTTGATACTTTTTTATTTATTTGTCGAAACCTTGTCTTCTTCTTCTTGTTTCTTCTAATTCTATGTCACGACTTAATGCATTTAATAATATTAACAAGAACCTAAGCATTGACATTCATAAAAACTGGCTACAATTATTAAAATAGAATGTTTATACAGTCGCAGGTGAGGCGATGTGCAGCACTCAGGGAAGTGACACATTACAAGTTACGAGGCATGTGGGGGAGGCCGTCAAGTCAGGAGAAGAGGGGAGGGAAGTGGGAAGTACAGAAGGTGCCTGACTGATACTGTATACACAAGTCACAACCTATTGATGTAACAGACTGAAGAGGGGCGAGAGCCCGAAACGCATATCTGTATGAATTAAAAGTGGAAGATGAAATTATTTGCCAAGTGTTGATAAATGCACCAAGTCGTGACATAGAATTAGAAGAAACAAGAATTTTGATACTGTTGAGAGCTTCATTTTAAACTATCAATATAAACAAAAATCTCATTCAAATGCTAGAAATGTTTTGGTGAAACTATTAAAAGAGAAGAAAGTTAACCTCAAGAAAGAATTATTTGATCTCCATAATCTCATCAAGCTATCAAATATTATAATATCACTGAAAGAACAAGGACTCGGTGTAACTAAACAAGCCAAACTAATTGAAAATGAAAAAGAAATTCTTTCTGGTTATCCTATATTTTCTCAAAAATTGGAAAACGTTTTGTCAAGCAATCCCGATCTTATCAAATTTACTTCTTTTGATATGAATTTAAGTGATAAAGTTAATAGCGAATACACTCCTTTAGTTGCAGTTGACGTTAAACGTTCATTCTCATTATATTAATCGATATCGAGCAATCAACGTCATAGTTTAAGCAAGGATTATTTAAAATATCTAAGTGTAATTCATTTTAACTCATTTTTGAAATAAATAACTGGTGACTTTTTTTGGCGAATTTAAAGCAAAAAATTGGCGATTTTTGCCCAAAAAGTGACAAAAACTTTCTAGTAATGTACTATGTTCTTAAAGAAATACTAAAACAAGCAATTATTTATTGTGACTTATCACAATGCCAGTCTGCAATTTTCAATCATATTTTAAATTTATTTAATTTAAAATATAGGCCTTGGTTTTAGTAGTGTCTTGCTCGTAAACCATATATAAAATTTTTCCTGTTAACAACAGAGTTGTGCCAGTCATCTAACTCCATTCTGGAGAAAATTTCTGAATTGAAATGATGTGACTTCCAGTCCAAATTGGAGGTTTGTACACAGTTGATCAAGACTTCCTGCCCCTAACCTTTCCATATCTAGTGTATACTTTCATCTATGTAACTCTGTTTTTGAGATTAAGAAAGGACAGACAGACAACAGTGGGAATTTATAGGCCTGCAATTTGAAAACTGCAGCACAATAAAATTATTCAGTATGTGAAACTTGTTAAAACATATCTGTGGCAATGGGACAATGTAAAAATATATAAATAACTGTATACAAATACAATGAAGTTTGAATGGACTATCTCACATTGATCTTTGACATAATAATGAAGTATGAACAGTGAATTAAACAAAATTATTCAAAAATTTACATTATTAAAGAAATGCATGGAAAATATACAAAATCAAAACTATTAAACTTCATGTAAAACATACTATACTATATTCATAAGCATATCCAGTGGCAGTGTATTTGCTTAACTACTGTTCCAGTTTGTTTTTTCTTAGTTCATATATCTATCATTTATTTTTTATAAATTAAAATTCAAATTTTGTAACTTTAGCTATTAATTTTGAAAATTTTCTACATTGTACAATTACAGACAAAATCTAACAATGGCTACCATACATCTGCACACTCTTACCAGAAATAAAAACCTTAAATACAAAAATTACCCAAAGACAGTAGAGCGTCGTTTATCGAATCAATTGGGGACTGGGGTTGTTCGGATAACTTATTTTTCGGATAACCGATTATGTACGAAAAAACATATTAACCTATCCCATGTTGAAATTTTTCTCCGTTGCATGTTACTTTGCGTTGAATTTTCGTTGATGTTAAGCCTAACGTAAACTTTTTAAAATAATAATCGTGGCTATTGTATTCTTAAAAATTATTTCTTTATTTTTTACAAACAAAATAAATATATTGATGTAAAAGAAAGCAAAATGTAATCCCTGTGTGCTAGGTTAAGAAGACATGTTTTGTACTAGACGGCGCTAGTTGGCTGGTGTCACATGCTTTGGTCAAAGGTCATCTTCTTTGTTCTAGTTTGCTACGTCCCTGTGTAGCACGTGTCTCCCCTCTCTTTGTGCATGTAGTCGTGTTACATATAACTGTGTATTTCCGTACATCGTAAGATATACGTTTACTTGCTTCATCTTCTGACAATTGAAAAATATAAAAACAAAAAAAATTATACTTTAGAAGTTGATCTAATATCAAAAATGTTCAATTCAGCATGACACACAGTCCTCAGAAAAACATCACACAAAAGTGCCAGTGCTACCAGCTAAAACATACCAACAAAAAAGAAATATTGGAGTAGCCCAAGATATAGCCAAAGATTGCAGCACCACAGCACTGGCGAAAATTTAAATTTGCAGACTGGAATGCTTTCGGTTAACTAATGTTTCAGATAAATGACGCTCTACTGTATATAGATTGGAAGCATCATTCATTAATCATATGTTAACAAATATGTCAAACTGCTTTAGTCAACCCACGATAAGCCTTTAAGTCAACCCATGATAAGTTATATGAATCTGAATCTTCACTATGGTAAGTTGAGATCTTACCATTTAGCTATCTGGTTGGATTGTGAAAATTTTAAAAACAAATTTATGAGCAATTATTTATTATGATTTTGTCACAATGCTGGGCTGCAATTTTTAATCATATTTAAAAATTTTTAAATTTAAAATATACTCTCTCCACTCAAATCAGTAGTGTCTTACTGCTGTACATCATATTTTCCTGTTAGCAATAAAGTCGTGCCTAACCAAACAGAGTCATATATCTAACTCCTTTTAGGGGAAACTTTTTGAATTGAAATAACATGACTACTGGTCTACAGCAGAAGTTCATATATAATTAATTCGGATCTCCTACCCCTAATCTTTTCACATTTCTGGTCTCAGTTTTCATCTATTTAACTCCGTTCTTGAGATTAAGGAAAAACAGACATGCAGACAGATGACAATGGGAATTTATAGATCTACACTTTTTTCAAATTGCAGCCCAATTATTTTGACACTAAATTTGATTAAAGAATATATTATCTTTTATAAGACAAAGTATAATACCACATAGACACTTTGCCAGATAGAACTAAATTTGTATATATATTATCTCTTCAAAAACAAAATTATAGAGAACATTGAATTATTTCTAAGATATTATTTCTTTCAAATTTAATTAATTAATTAATATCCAGTGCATCAAGAACATGCTTCTACACAAAATTAGAAAATAGTACTATTAATCAAATAATTATTAAAATAATGAAAATATATTTAAAACAATAGCTTAATAAATAAAAAATATCAAAAGAATTAATACTCAGAGTATATCCTAATTCCAATAAAATTAAAGTTTTGTTGTCAACAACAAATCATCTTTCATTTAAATACAATTAATTCTCTGATGTAATGAAGAGTAATTTGATAATTTATGCATTAATTTATCTGGAATTTGTATTTATAAATATATATATACACGATAAATAAATTCTTTGTGACTAAAAATTCTGTATATATAAAATGCTTATTATCAATATCACAGTCAAAATTTTTTAATGATTTTCAATAAAATATTATTCATGATAAACAATTTATACTATAAAAACAAATATAGATAATAAAGTATATTTAAGTACCACATAATGTTATTTATAAAGCAAACATTACAGTAAATCACGAATATAACTACTGTATTGGAAAATTGATATAAGCTTAATTTGATTCGACTCTGGCACATTATATTTATAAATACATTAAAAATCACAAATAAATCAAAATAATTTTTACTCATAACCGACAAACTTCTTTGTTATTTGTACTTGATCTGATTTAATTGAAACAGTTTTCATGCCAGAAATCGAGAAAAAATTGGTCAAATTAAGCTCTACATTATCCAAAATGACTTCATTAAACACTTTTCGAATATAGTATATGAAACGTTTTAATGATCTTTTATCTGCACATAAATTTCACATTAACAACAATGATACAATGATGTCATTTAAGGCAAGCTATGTTGTTTTCTTTACACAAAGTTACATAACATAAAAATTATTTTGACAAAATAAAATCTATGTATGTTGTACAATACTTACTAGCAAAGTTTGTAGGTTTTACAGACCATGCTAATAATTTATTTCATTAAAACCTAAACTAGTATAAATAATAATAGTAATTTCTGGAAAATATTTTAAAGAAATTTAATCATATAATAAATGTATTGCCAAAATTGTTGAAATTTTGTATTCAAATCATTATTAAAAAATAAATATGATATTAAATTAACCTTAATAAAACAATGAGTTTCATAAACTGAAAAAAAAAAAAAAAACTAAATTTTTAAATAAACATTTCTC